AGCAGACTCCTGCGGCCCAGAGCAGAGAGGGGCGGCGAGGAGGGGGCTGGAGGGCAGCCCTGACCTCCCCACGGCCCGGGGCTGCTGCTGGGCACGCGCCGCGGGCCAGGCCGGCCGTGCAGCCAGGGATCCCCCCGCGGCACAGACACGAGGGGCTGCTCGCAGGGCTAGACCCGGGATGCAGCTGGTCCAGAGGGCAGGAGCAGGCAGGTCCTGGAGTCATAGGGTTCGCGCTGATGGAGCGCAGAGCCCTGTGCCCCCGCACGTGCCGTCAGCCTTTGCTGTCCAGCTCTGGCCATGAATTGTGGTGCGGGGCAGGGCAGGTGCCCAGCTGGGGCCTTGTCCTGCCCCTTGCCCTGCAGGCTGGCGGGACAGCACAACCAGGCCGGATCAGCAGTGGTCACTGGGGCACCACGAAATCCGGCAGTGTCCTGCTCCTGGCTGAAAGCAGCTTTGTGCCCTTGGCAGCCCCCATGGTGCCCACAGGACCGTGTGAGTGACTGTGACCCCATCGCAGCAGGGCTGTACCCCCGCCCCACACCCCAACGCCATGCGCCCACCTCTCTGCAATCACTCTCCAAGCAGCTGCTGCAGGAAGGAGCATCTTTATTGAGAAGCGTCTGCAGTGGGAGCGCAGGGGGTAGAGAGCGGGCCCTGGGCCCAACCCCTGGTGCCGCTGCGGGCAGACACGAAGAGGAGCAAACCCAGGGCTGGGGCTGGGTTCAGGGCAATGCCGGGTGATGCAGAAAGTGGGTGTGAGACTGAAGGAGGAGCACGGAGGAGCTGTCGGGTCCAGGTCGAGGATAGGAGGGTCCTCCTTGCCTTCCTGCTGGGCAGCATCAGACCTGCTCCCTGCGATGCCTCCTCCTCAGGCTTGGCCTGGAGCAGGGAGGGGAGAGATTCAGAGCCCTGCCCGGGGCCACCCTGCCGGGGCACGGCCCCACCACAGCTCAGCCCGGGCTGGGGGCGCGATGGCACCGGTGCGGTGCCCTGGGCTGCAGCCAGGGGCTGGGCTCTCCCCTTTCCCTGCTCCCTCCTGCCCACCACCAGCTGCACTGGTACCTGGCACAGGCTCCACGCAGCGGTAGGCACATGCGTTGTAGCAGCACTTCAGCCGTCCCCTGCACTGGCGGTCGTGGAGGCACTCGTTCGGCTCGGCCTGGATGCACCGGATGTAGTCAGGAGGGCACCTCCCGGGCTTCTCTGTGACACAGGGCACCTGTCAGGGTGCAGGGGACACGGCCCGGCCCCAGGTCCCAGGCCCTGGCAGACACCCCCACTCCAGGCTGCTTCGCCACGGGGCCGCAGGTGCCAGCGGGCTGATGGGCCATTGCTGCTGCTGCTGCCGGCTCCAGCCCACGCGCCCAGGTCGGGCACACGGCATCTGGAGCCCGGGTGCAGCCGTACCGGATGCCCCGACACCTGTCCCTTTTGCGGGCGGAGGGAGGCCCCGGTGGGGTGCCGAGCCCACGGTCTCCAGCAGCAAGGCTGCGGGCAAGGACGGGAGCAGAGCTGGTCTCTTTCCTGACCCGGGCTCCTTTAGTCCATCAACGCTAACACGAGCTCCCGGGGCTGGGCCCAGCCTGGTGCAAGTGGCCCAGCAGTTTGGGCTCCAGGGCCACGTCTGGCAGCAGAGAGGCAGCCCTAGGGCTGGGGAGAGATGACGGCTCTAGGACTGTGGGGAGGGGCCCGTGGCCCTGGGTTCCCCTCTCCCTGCCCCACCCTGGGACCCCGCTCTGGCAGCAGCACCAGGGTCTGCTGCAGCTGCAGGACTCGGGACCTGGGGTTCCTGCACGTCCCTGTCCCTGTCCCTGCCCGAGCAGCTCGGCCATTGCTCCCCAACCTGCTCTCAGCTTGCTGCCCACAGGCCCAGGCACACGCCTGCCCAGGGGGAGACAGTTCTGGTTCCTGGGCACCCCGTAGCCCATGGTCTCGTACCCACGGAGGTAATGTATGGTTAACCTGGAGCTACAGGCAGTCGGTCCCGGGCGTGCTGGTGTGTCCCAGCCCCTGCAGCGCTGCCCTCGCTCTCAGGACGTGCATGGTGCAGGGCCGGGGACCCCGGGGAGCTGGCAGACGTGCTCTGGTCCAGAGGGACGCGATGCCACCAGGCAATGCCCTCGCAGCATGGCAGCTCCCACCCCCCCGCCCAGTGCTAACAGCCCCGCCGGGATGGGGGGGCTGGATCTGGCTCGGGGCTCCGGGCCAGGGGAGCACTCACCTAGAGGGACCTGCCCAGACGCAGGCTGCAGCGCGGCCCAGAGGGCGAGGATCCCCACCAGCAGGAACAGACTGCCCCGCTGCATGGTGCCGTTGTGCCGCCGTGCCGGGCCGGCCGCGCTATATACTGTCACCCTGCCCGGGAGTGGGAGGACCTTGCACAATGCCCCAGCTCGGCCCCTGCCCCTCCCAGGGGTACCAGGACATTCGGGAGACGCCCTGTGCCTCTGTGCAATGGGACGTGTGCCAGGCGCATGACAAGCCACACAGGCAGTTGCACCTGCTCCCTGCTCTGCCTCTTCCAGCACGGCTCTCCCGGGCAGCACCCAGACCCCATCGCCAGCTTGAACCCCCCCGCCCCGGGCACCAGTGCTGGGCCTGGGACCTGGGACGTGCATACGCGTCTTCCTCCCTGCTCTTGATCACGGCCCGGGGGGCATCTCCTGCCCAGCCAGACGGGCCGGGGCCTTCTCCTTCCTGCCCCGGCTCTGCACGGCTGGGTGCCAGCGCTGCCTGGACCAGCCGGCGCTGGGGAGCAGAGCGCACCCGCCAGCCCGTGCCCACGCCTGCACCCGCGCCAGAGCTGGGATCCAGACGGGGGCCAAGGACCTGCTGTGATTGATGCTCTTGACTTGGGCCTGGAGCCCAAACAGCTTGGGTACTTCCCCCAGGCTGCGCCCGGCCCTGGGAGCTCTTGGGTTGATGTTGATGGACTTGTAGCCCGGGTGGTCCCCAGAGGCGTAGCCCCTCTCCACGCGAAGGGACCAGAGCAGGGGCCGGAGCGCTGTGGGAGGCGGATGTGCCTGAGGTGCGCAGCACTCCTCCTCTTCCTCCTCCTCCCTATGGAGAAGAGCCAGAACGCCCATTAGGTCTTAATCACACACCACTTAACGAGGGGGACCAGGGCTTGGGACATAGCATAGATACTGGGGTGTAATGGGTACACTCCTGTGCCCAGGGCAACAGGAGACCTCAACAGTGGTTAAGCATACTCATTCAATCGACAGGGAACAGGCTAACAAGGTATAAGGCCCTGCACCGCAGCGTGCAGACCCGCTCGCCCCACCGCATTTGCTTCCAGACGCGAACGCTCTTGGAGGCAGAGCTGCCCTCCCAAGCGGCGCTGCAGGTCCGGGTGCCCTGGGGCATCCCCCAGCAGTGGCTGCGGTCAAGCTGAGGGGCCCAAGGCCACGTCCGGGCCAGGAGACCACCCCCCGACCCCCTGTGCCGTGCTGGGCGCTGCTCCCAGCTTGCGGGGAGGGGGAGCAGCAGCTACAG